CACACCCCTCTTGGGGCTCAGTTTCCTTGCCTATCAGAGACAGACGGGACGGGGCAAGTCGCTAGGCTTCAAGTCTCAGATGTATGTGCACACGCGGCTTCAGTGCACTCAGATAGGGGTGCGCTAGAACCATCTGGAGATACGTGGCTCGGTTTTTATTGTCCTCAGCTAAAATTTAGAGCTTTAAGGCAGAAATCAGTTCTGAAGTTCATCACTGGGCTGATGAGTTGAGGGAATTTGCTGTCACATCAAGAATTCAGGGAAAGATTGTACCAGAATCAATTGAAAAAGTTTCTGGAGACACTTGGATCAGAAGCCATTTACAGAAGCAGGGCTCAGAGGACTGCAGATGAATGAGGTTAAGAGCTGGTGAGTTTGCTTTGACTTGAGTGAATGTGCGTCTTCAGGTGGGCAGAGGGCTGGGCCAGGACCAGTGCTGACCCAGAGCACGGTCTTCAATTTTGCCGCACAGGGTCTTGAGTCCGGCCCGTTGGGCAGCTGGCATCTCTCAAGGATCTCGAGGGCCCCAGCAGTAGTCAAAGATGGGGTGGCACAGTGGCTGGACAAACACCTGTGTCCACCTTAAGCCGGAAGGTTCTAGGAATAGATGACGAATTCCTGGGGAAAGGAAGTGAGTGACTCTCGTGATGGTGCAGAAACGGGGGGTGATACACAGCACAGGGGACTGAGTTAGATGAGCATGTGGACCGCCCCAGCACGGAGTCGGTGGTGGGGGTGGATGGGGACAGAAGACTTCTGACAGCTGACACCAATTTCCAATTCCAGCCATTTTCCATTCTCCCCTCGCCAGACAGTATCACTTAACCTACACATTTCTTAGGGTAAATAGTAAGACACGTCTTGTAGCAAAGCCCTCCTTAAACGTGAAGACCTCGGTAATTAGCAGCGAGAAATACCAGGTTTCTGGGTGACATTTCAATGAGGGTTTTTTTTTTGAAGAAAATCTTATTTTAAAAATTATACCTCAACGCTTACAAGATAATTGGTTTTAGGTAGTCTGTTCACCTCTTTTTAGCTATGGCGGCAGGTCTTTAAGACTTCCCTTTTACTCTTCTGTGTTTTCAAGCTTATTAGGAAAAGCCCTTTCACGACAAAACCAATTATATATATTTTTTATTTATAGCAGGATGCTGTGTGTTATCATTCAGCCTAATTTTCCCCTAAAGCTCTCTAAGTTTAGTAGCAGTAGAAAATAGAGTGAAATATTTCCGTGTTGTGTCTACCGCAGAGAGAATTAGGTTAATTTGCTGAAAACCGAAATGATGGTTGAAAAGCAGGAAACTCTGAGCAGTGGTTAATTGTCATGACACGTCTTTCTATGTAGAAGCAACAGAACTTTGTCGCAATCCTTGTGACTGTTGGCTGGTTTTTTCCTTGCCCTGTTCACCGGCGAGTGCACATCTCATCCGCCTCCCTTTGGGGAAGTAATGTGTACAGTGGATCCAGCAGACGGCGGTCATCTGATTTGCAGGGCATCATGGTGGAACCCACTTGGCAGACCACTTGGAGATGACGTTGCTGAATGAGAGCATCTGTGTGTCCTTTGTGAAGACAGCCACATGGTTAAGCAGTGTTGCAATCAATTCCACCCTGACAAGACGGCTCCCCCGCTGCCCCGCTGTCTTGAGCGGCTTGTTTGCATTTTTTTCATCACACTTTCTCTCTCCACGCGAGAGAATCTGTAGGGCAGATTTTCTCTACCAATTTTTTCTCCAGCTCTCTATTTTCCTTTTTGATTCTAAAAAAAAAAAAAGCCCATTCCACAGTGTTCATCTGACCTAAGCGTTGACTAGCGAATTCACTAGTGGTGGACACGTCACTTTGACACTGTGGAGCTGTCATGGGCAGTTGGTGGAACTCATTCTCTGCTGGGACTGGCTGTGCTTCCTGGGTGTCCTGTTACTACAATATTTTTTCAGCTCTCCTGCTCCTTGGAAAAATGACCCATTTGAAAGTCATTGGTGGCTTTTAAAAGATAATAAAATAAATGTAATTGATGTCCTTTAAGTTTTTAAGCACCTTGCCGTTAAGTGATGTCTTCATTGGTTGATTTCAGCTATGAAACCGACTTTGTGAGGACGTGGGGAGCTGGAATTTTTCAATGAGCGCCCCCCGCCCCCCGCCAGTCACCACCCTTTAAGAAGAATTAAGCAGCCGTAAATTAAGAACACTAGAATATGTTGGCAATTAGAGTGGTGGCGCAGTGGCTACTTTTCTTTTTATACTCTGAAATGGTTGGTTTATTTTTTTTCACTTGGAGTCTTTATTTCATTCTGTCAAAAAATTACAGCCGAGGGATCCATTTTTACCCCAATTATAAAGTAATATGCTATGCTGTTACAGTATGCCTTGAAGAAACCGCGTGATTTATTAACTAAAGCAGACATTAAGGGAAACGTCCAAATGCTAACCTGTAAGCACTGTATCTGTGGTTTCTTTACTTTTCCATACCTTAGTCTTGAGGCTACAATTTTAAAAAACAAAAGTATAAAAGTTTGATAATAAATTTACAAATAATGAAATAGTATATTCTGGTGAGAGGCGGCAGCCTAGGATATTGTGACAGCAAATACTGTGAGAAAAAAGGTAGTTCTTAAACATGAGTTGTGATTTACTGTGCTTTTTTTCTTTTTAATCAAGTGTATTTGAGATAAAAAGCTGAAAGCTGATAGGTTGAGATCTAAACCTGAAACTTTCTTCACCAAATAGGACCAAGACCATTTTTAAAATGATTTTAACAATAGCTAATTAAACTCAGGTTTGGAGCTGAAAATATTGAAGCTGCTTTAAAACATGGAGAAATCACTCACTCGATTAATTCCATGTTATTAACTCAAAGGGCAGATTCTTCTTGTAAGACTGATAATACATCTTGTGTCATTTCGCAGTGTTTCTCGGCTTCTGTAGAGGGTGAATGTACATGGTCTAGGATGTGACCCAGCACAGCAAACAAAACGGTTCATTGTGGCAACACTGTGTTGTTTGGAGGATATTTATGAACTGAAAGACTAAGTGGTTAAATGATTTGCCTTTAGGAATACCTGTTGTTAGTGAATGTCATGTGTTAAGATTTGAACTTAACACTTTTCTTAAAGTTAGAATTTAATAATTTTATATTTCCAGGTGCCTCCGTGTTGCAGAATCTTCAGGGTGGAAGTCCCTGGGGCGTTAAGGGCCGTCCACGTGCTGATGACACCCACGCACGTTAATTTATGCAGCCCTGTCTTCTCCCCAGAACCTCTTGCAGATGTTCAGTAAATGTTTGAAAGGGAATGAACATTGTATTTTAGATGTTGGCTTCTTCTGAGATGTGTCTGTTTTTTATGTTTGCTTTTTCATTTCTTTATCAACTCATTCTGTAAAGGCAATCATTATGCTTACCTCTTAAGCATTATTCATATGTTGACAAAAACACAGGAAAGAAAGTTTTAATTTTATTTTTAAAGCTTTGTATTTTTCGTTTTAAAAGCATAGTACGTAGTGTATCCCTTGTCAGAAGTCGTCAGTTCCTGGGCTAAATTTCTTAGGGACTTGTTTTCTTTTCCTTTTTTTCTTTTTTCTCCTTTTTTGCAACTGAAATGATCTTCCAGTTTCCAAAAGGCATTAAAATGTAAGGATAGATTTGCTTTATGGAAGTTTATTTTGTAGGTAATTTTCAACGCTGATGAGTATTGTGCATAATTTTAAAGGAATAGCGGTGGTATTGCTTTGACTGTTTCCTATTTTAACATCTTAAGGATCCTTTCCATACTTACTTTTAGTGCAGTGTGACTTTAGTGGACATAAGCGATGTTTCCGTTCACACTTCCTTGCCTAGACCAGTGCTTGAAATCAGGTTTATATTAAAGAAGAAAGACCTATGCTCCCAACCAAGATGTTAATTGAGACACCTTTTTTCTCTTTTCTTTCACCCTTGGACCTACCTTTTCACTCTTCTTCTTTTCAATGTGATTACTTGTCACCATTAGCCAGATTCCTACTTTGTCCTCAGAAAGAAATCCTCACTATACTGGATATATTATGAATGCCCAGTTGACTAACTGTCTGTAAAAGACTTCTGGTTTGAAACATCTGGTGACCACATCACCACAGACGGATATTATTCAAGGTGGGGGACATACACAGTCCAGGCAGCACAGTCTGGAGAAAAGTCGTGAAAGGTAACAGCAGGAAGAAGCACTGATCTCCTGTCCGAGGCTGCGGAGAGACTGTGGATGCCAGCAGCAGAGGGGAGCATCCTCTTGGACGGCCTGGAGTTCCTGCCCATCTGGGGATGTGTGTGTGGACGGTTTCTGAGGCGCATGCTCAGCCTTCATGCTTTTGATCAGATGCAGATTTCCAGGTCGACTGTTCCACGTTGGGCCATTCCTGCTCATCCGATTGTAGAGGAGGATTTGAAGAGACTTACAGCTTTCCCTTTAGTGCGCCTGCGGTCTGATGGCAGGGTGGATGATCAGGGTGAACGGTCCTTTGTACTCAGGACCTCGCAAACACGGCCTTGGTTGTCAGAGTGTAAACAGTGATGAATGTCTCCAATAAACCTGACTGTGAACATAAAGAAGCATAGTTGTTTAGGGAGAGATGATTGAATAGATGATTGTGGATTATCATTCTTCAGTCCTGAGAGAAACCCACTCTGATACAGATTTTTGTCGTCCAGTGCTGGAAGGATCTGGCACTCAGTTCTATACGTTTATGGGTTGTTAGTGTAATAAGGATGACCCGCAAGGATGGTGGTGGTGGTGTTTTTGTTTTGCCCAAAGAAAAAAATGGATGTTGAGGCCATTTCCCCAAGGGTCTTTTTTTTTTTCCTGGAAATTTCTAATTTAAAATGATGAACGTAATCTGATTGAAAACACTAACACTAGGAAAGCTCGTTTTAAAGAAGCGCCCACTTCATTGGTTACGTGTCTTTATCCCAAAACAATGACAATGCATTTTGTATATACTGACAAGTTAGAATTTTTTGTTGTCAACAGGTTTGGCAAACATCGAAAAGATGACAAGATTGAGAAAACGGGTAGAATCAAAGCGCGGGAGGCCCCCCCGTCAGAGGAGGAGAGAGCCCGGATGGCACGCGAGCAGGAGAGGTAGGCTGCGGGCACTCCCGGAGACCCCGCGGGAGGGAGGTGCTTCCCCCCCGCATTCTTTGTTTTCTTTTTCTAATATAATGAGGTTGCATTCCATTGATATTTATTTTTTTCTGTGTCAGTCCAAATATTGGTGGTTGTGGGATGAATAAAGAAACGTGAAAAGAAAACACCTTATATTTATTTGAGGGAATAAAATGCATTTTATTGGTTTTAGTTAAGATCTTTGCACAGGAGACAGTAGGGCTTATGAGATCAATAAATAAACATTAGTACTGAATTTATGATCACTTTTAAAATCACAAGAAATATGGTAAAATTCAGTCTCATTCATCTACAAGTATATAGTATATTATAATCATTTTAAAGCAATACTCCTCTGGAAGTAGAACTGTTTGAGTTTATGTATCTCATGTAAAATATTTTGATTTCTAACAGGAATTGGGGAGGCTACTGATTTTTTTACTGTGTTGTTTTCCTATCAAACCTGCCATTTCTTTTTTCTCCTTCTGTTTCACTATCACACTTTGTGAGACGTTTTCTGCTTAAATTTTACTCCGTCACTTCCAGAAAGATTGTTATCTGTTGTTGAATCATTTCATGCTGGGAAACCAAAGACCACTGAAATGAATGAAAAGTCACTTTAAGCAGACACTCGAAGATCATTTTCTAAGTGATTAGCATTTTTCTCATTATAATTCACAGGGGATGAGAGAGCCAGCTCACGCCGGGGTTACTAGAGTTCACAGGTGTGGAGCAAGTCTCCCTGTAGCATCCATTTCATTTTCAGAGTTGCCACAGAAGACTTCCTTCTTTTACTTTTAATAACTGGGGGGTCAGGGAGTTCCTGCTGCCTCGATCAAGGTTGTGAACCTCAACACGGCTGGTAGCCAGGACTCTAGCCCAGCGTCTTAGGACCACGTCTGCTGTGCTGAGTACAGTCCTAGAGCCAAGACACCTGCCGCCTCTCACTTCACAGGGGGCAGAAGAACTAGACAGGGGGTCCTACCACTTTTCTGTAGAAGTGATTCACGTTCAGATATTTCCCATCCATCTTTCCCAGACCCCTGAGGATTGTTCTGCTGGGCCAGTCTGATTCTCTGTGTGTGGCTTTTCAGGGTATAAAATCCGTGTAAGTGGGGAACATGTGGACTTTGTAATGCAAGTTTGGGTTTACTCTTCTGACTCTTCTCCAATTTTGAAAAAGTCATTCCACCTTTCTTGCTTCCTTGACTCTCTCTAATCCTCACCAGTTTGGGAATCCTCACACTTACTTATAAACTCACTGTGTGCAGTGTTCCGTGGTGTGTGGAATACGGCATTTAAGTACTCACGAGTGCAGACGTCTCTCGTAAGAGGCTTTTCTATCCCTTAAGGAAGCATGTGTACCAGGTAAATGGATGGACTCAGCTTTATCCACGGGCAGATGTGTGACTCGGTTAGTGAGCTGAGGGTGAGGAAGAGTCATTAGACTTCTCCTGTCTTGATGCCAGCCAAAGGGAGAGCCCCCCCACCCTGTTTTTCAAATTCTAAATATTCCTTTTATGCAGTTTAAGATGAGCTGCCCTGCTTCCATGCAGAATTCTATCAACTTTTTCCAAAATACTTTTACAATGCAAAGTCAAATTTTTACAGCCAAACAATGGTTTTTACATAATGGCTGCCCTTGTATCATTAATTTGCCTAAGGCATGGTTCACCTCTCAGCTGTGCTTTTCATCTCAATGTCTGTACCTATTATGATGTAATACTTCTGGGAACTAAGTTGATGCTAATGAATTTACAATGTCCAGGAGGCCTAGAATAAAGAATCTTTTAGGGCCAAGTGAATGATCCATTAAAAAAAAATCAATTAGCTTCGTAATTGAAGAAAACTGCTCTACTTTGCGTTTCAGTAATAATTTTTACAAATATGTTTTATTTAAACTCATGGATCTTACAACAGCAGTATGAGATGTTGAATTGTGTAAGAGATGCCTGTTTAGTGTTTGCGGTTTTGATAAGCAATCCTGCTCTGGAGTGACCTCGCTCCTAGTATGTCTGTCTGTTGGCATCACTCCTTTTGAGAATGGAAGCTGCAGCTTCCTTGGGAAGAGTCTGATTGGCGGTAATAGATAAAAAGAAATAAACCACAGCTTATATTCTCACCACTGCCTTTACTTCACCACTGACTGGCAGGGAAGCATCTTCCATAGTGTTATTTACTTACTGTAGCTATCTGAGTTCCAAAAACGATTTTGGCTGATTCCAAATGAAAATAGAAAACCTGACATCCCTTCGTGATTAGTTATGACGTGCCCACATACCCAGCTATTTATGGGTCCGTACCAATCCATGAAACATGAATATTACCCAATATAGAATATCAAAAAATCGAAAGGACAGTGAATATCCTTTAAAATGTTTTTCCTCCCACGGTAAGATCTATTTAGATAGTGAAAGTAAATTAGATTCTTCGGAGCAGGGCTCTGAGATTGAATTTGACGTCACCCATGCTAACTTCCTCCCTTTCCTCCCACTCGCTGTAAGGAGGGGTCTTGAATCCGTGCTCTTTGCATAGGAGAATGGGTGAGAAGGGTCCCCACGTGGTCTTCCCTGGCCTCAGACTTGAGTCTGCCCGCCTGAGGTCTCCTCTTGAGAAGTCAGGCGTCACGGGTGACGTTAGTTGGTCCTGTGATGTGCTGTTGGGACCCCTGGCTCGGAGTGCTGAGCCCAGGTACCCCACCCTTTCAGTGATGCTTTGGCCACCGGGAGACACTAAGCCAGGCAATTGGTGTTTGGAGCTGAGGTGTGAATCCAGTGCTTGCCGCCGCCTCCTGGCTTCTCCTTCAGGTGTGCCTCGGGGGAGGGAGCCCTACTGGCTCATGTCCACCACCCGAGAGGCTGGGGCTCCAAGCCCCGCATGGAGTCTGTGCAAGCGCATGACTCTGGTGACTTCAGGGCCACTCAGCTTCTGTCACAACGCCTGGCAGTGGACGTCTCTTTTGGTGCTGTGTCAGAAGTCACGTTTTGGCTCTCGCTCTGGTGGCATCCCCACTGCTGGTTTAAGGGCATGTGAACTGTGGGGCGCGGCTCCCAGACAGCACTCAGTAGCAGAATAGGGCTCCACGTGCAAAGATGTTTGAGAAACACTTGCTTAAACCCACTTACACCTATTTCTTCACTCTGTCATTTGTCAAAACCCTTGTTCTGTTCCTATACATTGTAAGTCGCCAAAATGGGACTAGAGGGTCATCACTCCCTAACTTATTTTTTCACAGAACATCCCCCTTCACTTCTTTTTTTCTATAAAGTACTAACATCTCTTAGAATTTGTGTCATTTGGAAAATACTGATGGCAAGGAAGGACCACTGGTTCCTGGTTCCGCCATGTCCATCCAGCTCCTCCATCTAACTGGCTGTAGAAATCCTCAGAGCTGTTGTTTTTAATGGTGACCACAGTAAGTTTGGTGAACATCCATCATCTCCTGTAGATACAATGTTAAAGAAAAAGAAAAAAAATTTTTTCCTTGTGATGAGAACTCCTAGGATTTTCTTAACGTCCATATATAACGTACAGCAGCGTTACATTTATCACGCAGTACGTTACATCCGGAGGACTTATTTATCTCATAACTGGCAGTTTGTACCTTGTGGCTGCCTTCATCCAGTCCCCCCCCCACCCCGCTTCCTGCTTCTGGTCACCACAAATCTGATCTGTTTCTGTGAGTTTGTTTTTGAATAATTGACCTACCGCACTGTGTTAGTTTCTGTTACGCAGCCTAGTGATTCAATATTTCTGTACATTTCTGACTGACCACTGTGTTGTCTAGTTGCCATCTATCACCACACAGAGATACTACATGGTTATTGACTGTACTCCTCACACTATCCATTTCATCCCCGAGGCTCATTTACTTTGTAACTGAAAGCTTGTCCCTTTTAACCTCCCTCACCTGTTTCCTTCCCTCAACCCTCTCTCCTTGGACAACCACCTGTTCTCTGTACCTGTAACTCTATTTCTGTTTAGGTACGATCGTTTTTTTTGGATTCTACATGTAAGTGAAATCATGTAGTATTTGTCTTTGTCTGACTTACTTTACTTAGCATAATCCCCTCTAGGGCCATCCATGTTGTTGCCAAAGGCCAGATTTCATTCTTTTCTGTGGCTGAGTAATATCCCATTGTATACAGCACATCTTCTTTGTCCATTCATTTATTGATGGGCTCTTAGGTTGCTTCCATGTCTTGGCTATTGTAAATAATGCTGCAATAAGCATATAAGTGCCCATGTCTTTGCAAATTAGCGTTTTAATTTTCTTCCAATAAATATCCAGGAGTGTGATGGCTAGATTGCATGGTAGATCTAGTTTTAGCTTCTTAAGGAACCTCCATACTGTTCTCCACAGTGGCTGCACCAGCTTTCATTCCCACCAACAGTACAGGAGGGTTCCCTTTTCTCCACATCCTGTCTGACACGTTATCTTTTCGATAATAGCCATTTTGACAGGTGAGGGGATGTCTCATTGTGGTTTTGATTTGTATTTCCCTGATAATTAGTGATGTTGAGCATCTTTTCATGTCCCTCTTGGCTATCTTGTATGTCTTTTTTGAAAAAATGTCTAATCAGGTCCTCTGCCCATTACTTGATTGGGTTGTTTTTGTTTATATTGAGTTGTATGAATTCTTCGTACATGTTGGATACTAACCATTATTGGAGATATTGTTTACAAGTATCTTCTCCCATTCAGTAGGTTGTCTTTTAGTTGTATTGATAGTTTCCTTCACTGTGCAGAAGCTTTTTAGTTTGATGTCGTCCTATTTGTTTGTTTTTGCTTTTGTTTCCCTTGCCTGAGGAAACATATCCAAAAAAATATTGCTGAGATCGATGTAAAAGAGCACACTGTCTGTGTTTTCTTCTAGGAGTTTTATGGTTTCAGGTCTTACATTTAAGTCTTTAACCCATTTTGAGTTTATTTTTGTGCATGATGTAAGAAAGTAGTCCAGCCTGATCCTTTTGTT